GGACAGACAGCCCTACAGGTTACACAGACTGTAGCTAATCTAGGACAGACAGACCTACAGGTTACACAGACTGTGCCGCCAGCCTGGACAGACAGACCTACAGGTTACACAGACTGTAGCTAACTTAAGACAGACAGACCTACAGGTTACACAGACTGTAGCTAACTTAAGACAGACAGACCTACAGGTTACACAGACTGTAGCTAACTTAAGACAGACAGACCTACAGGTTACACAGACTGTAGCTAACTTAAGACAGACAGACCTACAGGTTACACAGACTGTAGCTAACTTAAGACAGACAGACCTACAGGTTACACAGACTGTAGCTAACTTAAGACAGACAGACCTACAGGTTACACAGACTGTAGCTAACTTAAGACAGACAGACCTACAGGTTACACAGACTGTAGCTAACTTAAGACAGACAGACCTACAGGTTACACAGACTGTGCTGCCAGCCTGGACAGACAGACCTACAGGTTACACAGACTGTAGCTAACTTAGGACAGACAGACCTACAGGTTACACAGACTGTGCTGCCAGCCTGGACAGACAGACCTACAGGAATGTACACTCTGTTACCAGCCAGGACAGATGGACAAGCCTACAGATTATATACACTATGCTGCCAGCCCTCAGACAGACCGACCTACAGGTTGTACTGACTATGCTGCCAGCTCTGAGACAGACTGTCCTACAGAGTTTATAGACAGAGCTGCCGGCCATGGGCTAGACTAAACCAGTGTTTCTCAACCTTTTTTTAAAAAAAATAAAGTACCCCTTTAAAAAAAATTTACCCCTAGCACCTACAGTTTTCAGACACACCATTTTTTTTCTACCACTGCAACACAGTTGTTTAAACAAACTTAATCAGAGCTGGGCAGGCGATGAAATTTTTGTCTGTAAAAAGTACAAAAATAATAAAGCACTGTAAAACTTAAAAATTCAGTTTTCTCCACATTTCAGTTGTGTTGGTGTACCCCCGAGCCTTCTCTCAAGTACGTTTAAAGGGTACTCAAACTACTGGTTGAGAAACACTGGACTAAATCAACAGACTGTGCTGCCAACTTTCGCCCAGACCTACAGGCTATGTCTAGACTGGCATGATTTTGCGGAAATACTTTAAAGGGAAAAGTTTTTCCGTTAAAAGTATTTCCACAAAAGAGCATCTAGATTGGCAAGATTTTGCACTTTTTAGATTTTGCACTTTTTGCGCAAAAGCATCCGTGGCCAGTCTAGACGCGATTTTGCGCAAGAAAGCCCTGATCGCCATTTTAGCCATCGGGGCTTTTTTGCGCAAAACAATTCTTCCCTGTCTACACTGGCCCTCTTGCGCAAGTATTCTTGTGCAAGAGGGCTTTTCCCCGAGCGGGAGCATGACAGTATTTGCGCAAGAAGCACTGATTTTGTACATTACAAAGTCAGTGCTCTTGCGCAAATTCAGGCGGCCAGTGTAGACAGCTGGCAAGTTTTTGCTGCACAAAATCTTGCCAGTCTAGATGCACCCACAGTGTATACAGATTGCCATGCTAGATCTGGCACATATGACAGACTTATGCTACAGGGCAGACAGACCTTTCTGCCAGCTCTTACATGGCATTATTCCTGTAGGGGAAAACTGAATGAGAGATCTGCATGATCTGCTTCTGTACATGTTGCCTCATTCCTATATCTCAGTGAGGAAACATTATTGCAAATATAGATTCACATTCTTCTGTATCAAGATTGCGCAAGACCCCAGCTGTTGGCTTGGAGTCGCTTGTCTTCCTCTGAGGCTACTTAAGGCATTGTTGGAAACAGGGTACTTGAATTAAGTCCAGTTCAAAGAAAAAATAATGCAATGAGTCTAGGTGAGCTGGAGTTCTTAATCCTCACCTTCTCAAATTGTAGCACACATCAAGAAACAGTATGCATTATTTTTATGTATAGTCTGGTGTGCTTGCTCAGAAGAATAGTAACACCAACCTCCACGTTTCAAAAATCATACATCAGATCTCAAAGTACTATGAGATTGGTTTCATATCAAGAGTTTTTATTTATTTATTAAACAACATGTTTTGGATTCGCTTAATTTGCCTTTTGATGTTTATGCCTTTATCACCTTCGAGTCATGTTTTCAAGATTTTCTGCACAACCATATGGGTTAGAAACTTGCCTGTCAGAACTGTGGCATTAAGAAAAAACATCCAATTTCATGAGACTTATAATAAAATCATGAGTTGGCACCACTGGGCCAACTAAGAAAGAGAGGCAGGGAAAAATAATCAGGGTGATCACTGATCACTCAACATTTTAATTATATTAAAAAAAAGAATCGGAGGGGTAGCCACGTTAGTCTGTAATAAGTAGTCCTGTGGCACCTTAGAGACTAACAAAATATATAGATAGTATCATGAGCTTTTGTGGGCAAAAGCATGGGCAATACCTAAGAGTGTATTTATTGTTCACCTGCTTTGGTCAAAATTAGTGCCAATGTGTCACCCAGTGAAGGACATTCAATGAGAATGGCATCCGTTTTCATCACCAGTATTTTGACAAATTGCATCTGAAATTGCGTTATGCTGACACACCGCTGCATACTAAAACTGAGCACATGCTATCCATGCTTCTCTTCCCACATATCGGTTGATCACACTGGACTTGATCCTGAGCATCCTACTGAAGTCAGTGGCAGCTGTGGGGAACTCAGGCAGGTGTCTTCAAAGCTATTTATGATCATTCAGTTTCTGTGAAAATCCTGCACCCAAAATTATAGATTGCCCTGTAATCATTGACTATAACATGAATTTACGACAACAAAGAGGATACTGGTTTCTTTTATGCACAAAAGAGCTAGCATTATATGAGTACAATTTCTTTTCTGAAGTGACGATGCTGTTAGCTTGTTTATATTGGGCTACGTATGAGCTGCTGTTAATTTGCCTCATTCTTAATTGTATATTTCCAGATCAAATCAACATTTTTAAGATCATGAAGGTTGAATATACATATCCATTGTTTTGAAACAGTAGCATTGCATATTGTAATTTGGAAATAATAGTCAAAAGTGAGGAAATTTGGAATTAAGGTTCTACATACAACCTTAATGCCAATGCTGTTCTTTATTTTTATAATGCATGTGTTAAGAACCAACATTCACATGTTTTTTTATGCACATTATTCTTTTTAAAGATGCCTGAGAAAGTTTAAATAATGATGGGCAATTTGCAAGAAACACAAGGGATGAAGAGGTTTTAACTGTCTTTGAATTATGTTCTCAATTAGCAGTTCAAATAAAAAGAGAAACAGTGGTAGTGATTGCAGCTATATACAAATAAATGGATGACAGATTAGTTAAAAAGGTAGATTAAATAGGGCTAGTAAAGTAACTGAGGGTTTAATAACAGATCTGTATTTGCCCCAGGATGAAAAATAGACTAATAACAAATCAAAAACTACATTTAGCACCAGATAAGGCTGCATCAGGATATACTCCATCCATCCTAAGATTTAAAATCATAACAATAAGAAGTTAAGAAAAAATTTTTTACATTACTGTATAGCTAAGGCCCTTTGTTGATTTAATTTCCCTGAAATGTATTGGTGTTTATTCAAAAATGTTAAAAAGGGTGATAACTGTTAAAAGCTAAAATGAAGGGCAGAGAGCAGTAGGATGCTGGACATTCCAGGAGATGGGGTCAGGAGAAGATACTTACCACACAATAGTTGAGAAAATCTACATCCTGCAGTAGTCCGGCAATGTTGACAGTGGACCCATCTTCCTGCTCTTCTCACTCCTCAACTGCATAGAGGAAGCAAAGGGGGCCATGCTGAAGGGCCAGGAAACGAAGAATAAAAGGCTGCACCCTGTAAATACTGACCTCCCAGGCAAAGCCCTTTCCTCTGTCTGGGAGGGTATGTCTACACTAGCCCCCCAGTTCGAACTAGGGTGGCTAATGTAGGCATTTGACCTTGCAAATGAAGCCCGGGATTTAAATATCCCGGGCATCATTTGCATGTTCCCAGGCGGGCACCATTTTTAAATCCCCTTAGTTTGAACTGACTGCCCGCGGCTACACGTGGCAATCAGAAGTTAATCCGAACTAAGTCCTTAGTTTGGATTAACTGTTACTCCTCCTGCAATGAGGCGTAACAGTTAATCCGAACTAAGGATTTAGTTCAGATTAACTTCTGACTGCCACGTGTAGCCATGGGCAGTCAGTTCGAACTAAGGGGATTTAAAAATGGCGGCGCCCGGGAACATGCAAATGAAGCCCGGGATTTAACCCGGGCTTCATTTGCAAGTTCGAATGCCTACATTAGCCACCCTAGTTCGAACTAGGGGGCTAGTGTAGACATACCCGTAGGCCCTAGAACCATGCTTAAGAGTCAGGGTGAGGAGTGATCTCTGCTCTTTGAAACCTTGAAGTACTTTTTTCCCACCCACTTTCACTGGCACATTGAACTCCGTTGCCTCAAGACAGGAGCTACTAAACTCTGTAGGATATATAGCCAGGGAAGAAGAGGAATGAAGGAGCTGATGTTTCAGCCCTGAAAATTCTACTCCTGCCAGATACCAAACAGGGAGTGGTAGAAGTAGCACCGCTTCGCTCTAGCCATTTTGTCAATATTGTAGTGTCACCTCTCTCTGCAGTCTACCTACTTAAGTATCTAAATTTGCTGATTAGAGACAAATTAAGCTGTTGCTCTGCTGGCAACCCGTTCTGTAATTATGTTTATTTTATGCCTGGAGTGGTATTTTATTGTTCAGTGTAACATCATTATCAATTATGTAGCTCATGCTTCTTCCAAATTAGCATCTGAGAAATAATCAAGAATCAAACTGGGTTTGAAACAGCAGACGTCTAATATGGCAAGTGTGGTGTTTTTATGTAAATAAATCTGATGTTAAAGTTACTTCCACTAGCTAGAAGAGAAGGTGTCTCTTTACAGTCACATTTATACAGAGCTATGGATGTTTGGGGCCTGATTCTCTGTTACTCTAAGGCTCCTTTACACCAGTGTGGCAGTGTTAAAAGTGTATAAAGTGGATGTAAATGTAACTTACATCCACTTTACAAACCCTTTACACTGCCAGAGTGGTACAGGTCAGCTATAACATAGAAGGGAGTGGCGCCTATTAGACCAAATTATTCTGTGACTTAAATGGTGATGTGAATTGGAAAAGTGTCATTCGTAAGGGGGTGAAAGTTGTCACATTGAACCTGTTCGGTATTGACTGATTATGAGAAATGAATGTGACTTGCCAGCCCCGGAGCTAAAAGCAGGCTGCATCAGGAAAAGCAACTAGCGGGAACCTGCAAATTGAAACATGGCTATTTTATATTACATTTTTAAATGCTTTTTCTGCCATGCAGGCCTCTTCTATCCTCTTAGCATGTTCATTATGCCCACTTTGCACTCTTCCTGAATGCCATATTGGAGCAAGTTACATCACATACTTGTCCAATCCCCTTGGGACCTCTGGGCAAATTACAGTAATGCAGGAACAACTATTGACTCTGGCTCATGGACCCTGCGTCTGTTTTAATCATGTTAACCAGTTCTGAATTTGGTCCATTTGGCATAACCCAGGACTCCTCTGGTTTTGTTAGCAAGTCTCACACTCCTGCAGTAGAACGAGATCACGGGTGAATTTGATCCTTGGCATCTCTGCTGATCTATCACCCTTATTTTTCCTCTCTGTTCTGTGGCATCTGAGATGCCTTATTTCTTTCTGTCAGGCCTGTGGCTACAGCACAGTGTGGGTGTGTCTAGACTACATGCCTCCTTCGACGGAGGCATGTAGATTAGCCAGATC